TAGGAACAGCAATACAGCAATACAAGTGGTGGTTCACCACACCTAATCGGCTGATATCCACTTTCCAGGGCAGCTGAACAGTCACTTAGGGTTTAGGGTTCAACAACAGTCCCTTAGAGAGCTGAATAGAGAAGAGCACAGTCGAAGGAGGGAGAAAAAAAACCGAACAGTCCCTACTCAGATTTTAGAACATTAACAGTCCATCGAAAGAGGGCAAGAAGAGAACCATAAACAGAGAAACTTCAGTTCAGTACCCAGATCACCTGAACTATGAATGGGCAGTACACTCAAGGACCCAATCTTCTCTGCAGGCCAGAACCCTTCTTTGTACATCTAGGATGTTTTTCCACAGTGTTCTTAGCCGAGCAACCCCAGAAAACATGTAGCAGAACTCTTTTCTGCGCTAGGAAGTTGAACAGTCGGCTCTCTTGTAGCAGAACCATACTCGGCAGAGGAGACTAACTGCAGAATTAGAGAATGCTTCCTCTTCCTTGTCTTCGAGCATCAGGACCATAGCTTCTACGCAGCAGTGAAGAGAGACCTCAACTGGTTGTTTTCCAGGCCTAGTCGGTCCTGATCTGATACCATGTTGAGCAGAAAAGAAGAAGAAGAAGAAGAAGAAGAAGAAGAAGAGAGAAGAGGCTGCAGACTTAAGGCCTCAAAAAGAACTGCTTCATGCGAGTGAAGCATTTGTATTTATACTATACTGGCCRTACAACACAAAAGGACTACAAAATTACAAAAATACCCCTGCGGGCACTAAACCTGCGTACAGTACATATAATACACCTGTCAACATAGTGCATGTGATGAAAATTTTCTCTCAGCTAAAGCTTGGTTTGGAGAGGGCAGCACCCACAAAAAACTATAAATGGGTATACAGGAGAAAAAGGAAGAGAGGCTTGTAACACCTAGAGCTGATTCTAGGGAGACGACAATGAAGGAGAATTCACCGGTTTCTCAGGGGATGGAGGTTCAACTAACAAGGACAGTGATGGTCCTGATTCTGGTGCGATTATGAAGGTGAAAATGAATGAGTTTAAGGACAATACTTTGGGAGGTGTGTCTATTCAGAAGCTAGTAGACAAAGAGGTTTCAATCGGAAAAAGCTTGGGTCTGTTTTTTGGGGGTTGTGAAGAGTTTGCTAGGAGGGCCTTTGAGGAGTTTGAAAGGGGAAAAAGGGAAGAGAAGTTAAAGAAAAAAGTTCTGGAGAAGAAAGATGAGGCTTGGAACGAGGAAGTTTCAGATCAGGAGGATGTGTTCGTGGACAAAGACTGAGCCTCTCTGCCAGGCTTTCCAAGGTTTCTAGCTCAAGTCCAATTATGTTTGAGTCTTTGGTATGTAAGTTGGGTGTTTGTTAAGGGGTACAGAAGTTTTGTTTTGTAGGGTCTTAAGTGCGTTGGGTCTTCAGTTGTGTTCTCCTTTTGGATGATATCTTATCTTCTGTTGTATCTCCTTTTCCTTTTTAATGAAATTTGCTCTTTATTATTCAGAAAAAAAAAACCCAGTATGCAGTTCTGGATGGGTGGTAGTACTGAATGTGTTAACCTGGATACAGCAATGATAAATGTGTGTGTGTGGGGGGTGGACCAATCTTCAAGAGTCAATCAGTCAACAGGAGTTTTAAATAAAGATTTCATATAACACATGCCAGAGAAAAGCTTGTTCCTGAAAAACTAGAATAAGTTTTAGTTGAACAGAAGCTACTGTAAAAACATAAAGAATAAACAGAGCAACCAGTCTAGATAACTAGAAGTTTATACATAGTCTTCTAATATGTCTAAGTTCCAAGCCAACAGGTTAGACGTTGATTTATTGACCAGCACATCAGAAACTGCAAACTGTTAATCATGGTTTGTGATTTCGACGTCGATGGATATTCTGCCATGTAGAGATAGAGAAATTTCAGAGATATTTTGCTAAGATTGGAAAATATACAAAATCAGGAAAGATTTCTAGAAACATGGAATTAATTATTAATCCTTCAAGGAATCATTAGAGTAAATATAACTGTGCACTTAAGGCTCAAAAAAACCATAACAAAGAACTGTATAAATCAAATAGGAGTAAATTAAGAGACTTTATTGGTATCTTTGCCTTTATCTCCATTTTAGTCTTTTATCCATCTTCTCTTCATTAAATATGTCAATTACTTGCCATTTTGACCTTTTTTTTCTTTTTTGGTTTCTATATATTTTGATTAATTTGAGAATATTCTTTTGTAGTTATATGCATTTTACTTCTTTTAAATTATAGTGACTTAGTAAGTGAATAATATCAAACTAGTAAGCGAATAGTTCAATCATCAATTCCCCATGGTCCTTTTAAAAAATTATAATGATTTTAACGAAATATGAAAAGTTAATAATCATTTTGCAATATTGCCGACATATCAGAAAAATATCGGAGGTATTTGAAAAAAAAAAGAAGATTCCCAGAAAATTTCATATCACCACCTCGCAAAATAGGGATATTTTGGGGATATATCGCCAAGATCGTCAATATTACGAACTATGCTGTTAATAGATTACCATATTAAATATTGATTTATGCATTTTTGACAAGATTAGTGAATAAAAAACATGCTTCATAACAAATGCAACGTTTAAAGAAGACTTGGTTAAATTTTAAAATACAAAAGCAGAGACAGAAAAAGATAAACAATTGAACCATTCCTGACCTCAAAGCGATCAATAAAAAAACCAAGCCATAATCTATGAGCAATTATTCCTTGAATAGGATCCTTATCAGGCTGAACTACTGGCTCTCCTGGAAACAGGTGAGGCCTCAATTTCGCAGCAGGTCCAGAATACCTCACATCAGATGCAAATAAGCCACGCTTTGTATCTATTGTCCACAACCAGGCATCAACAAGCTCCGCAAGGACAAGTGAACCCAATTGTGGAGCAGCAGAGACTAACCATGTCCAAACAAATATGCCAATCTCCATTGCATCGGGTGTTGAAATGTAAGCTGGGCACCAGCAAAGGAGTCGTAAAAGCTGTGAGAAGCCCTCCATATTTGGCTTTGAATCAGAAGCCTGAAAAAAAAATGTTACCACACAGCATTTAGTAGAAAAACAGAGATGAGGAACGAAATTGTCCATGCTGAGAAAAAAAAAGCAAGTACAAGCTGGTATGAGGCATTAATATGATAATAAAAGTTTACCAGATCCGAGAGAAGTAATGCAGTAGCCTGGGAACATGTTTCACGAAATGATGTCTTATCCAGCTCTCCGCCTTTCTCAGCAACATTGACAAATTGTTGAAGTTGCCGCACAAACTTCATAAGAAGTAGCTCATTGAATGATTCACTTTCAGGTTGTAATTGTTGAGGAGACACTCCTGATTTTAGCCTTTGAAGCCCAATGCCAAGACCTATGACCGTTGGTGGAGTTCCAGGTTGAAAACCACCAATGCTGTTATACAACCTTCTCATGCCAGCAATTTCCCCAGCATGGTTGCACTTAGCTGTTGCACTGACTATACCCGTGGAGAGAACCTCCAAGTTGAAAGCTTCAGTCAATTTTAAGTTTCCTCCCGAAGCTGCAGCTGCAGCAGCCATAACTGCAGGGATGTTAGCTGTTCTTATGCCTACCCAGCAATCATTTTTTCCAGTACCAATCCGCATCTCAGATAAAAGGGAAACAACATCAGTTGCAGGTTGTCCTCTCTGCCATGTATTTGCTTTACAAAGTTTTTCCTGGAGGAAACAATTGGAATCAAACCAAACTCAAAATAATACCCAAAAGAAAAAGAGAAACACTATCAAAACTGAAATATATGTGTAGAGAAGATGGGCCAAATGGCCCATAGGATGTTTGTCATTTTTATCCTTTTATGTTCTTTGCTGTAATGGGCCTTAATTTGGGCCTTTCTTTCTCTTATGTTGAGTTTTTTAATTTTCTGCCCAACCAAGGGCCTCTCTGTAAATTACCAAAGTTTAAGTTAATGAAATAGGATTAGGGGTGTAAGAGGAGATTATGTTCGAAATCTCTCTCTGAACCCTTATTGCCGTCACCTTCTTCTTCCTATTCTCTCTTCTTGAAACCTGATTTCTGCTACTTTCAATCGATTCTCTGCAATATTTTAAACAGTCCTTTCATTTCAAAAAGCTGTTTTTCTTCTTGGTATCAGAGCAGGCTCTTCTTCTTCTCTTTTTCACCTCTTTTTTCCCATACACAATGTGTATGGAGAACCGAATCAGATGAATAGTTAAAGAAGCTTGTTTCAGCCCAGTTGTTAGTGGTTTCTGGAGAGATGGGGACTGGTTTTGTCGTCCTCCTAACAGTTTCAAGTGTGTTGCCCGAAACCCTAATTTTCTGGAGAAATCTGATTGCGGGCCCCATAGGGAGTTTGACCTGGGCGCTCAGTGACTAAAAGACTTCTTATTCTTCATCTTGAAGATCAATTCAAGTTGCTTGGTGTTTTGTGGAGTCTACAAGGTGCGGCTGAGTTTTCTCTGTTTCTCCCGGGTCCCGGGTGTGACGCAGTTAGCAGGTACGACTGCATAGAGGTTGACTCACAACACAATTTTTCTCCTGTCTTCATTGATTGTTATTTGAAGTTATTAGAAGTTATTTTTGAAGTATTATAAGAAGATGGACCCTTCAGAAGTTGAAAACAAGCATGTTGCTGAATCCGGACAGGTTCCGGGAGCCTCTGTTGACTCTTTGCTGATTGTGACCATAGTCAAGCTAGATGGAACTAATTATCTGGCTTGGTCACAATCAATAAAAATTCATATATGCAGTAGAGGCAAATGAGGTTTAATCTCCAGGAGCAAAAAGGCTCCCCCGGAAGATGACCCATCCTATAAAATGGATGCAAGAAAATTATATTGTAATTGGATGGCTTGTGAATTCAATGCAACCACAGATTAGTCAACACTATTTGTGGATGAATTCAGCAAAGGAAATTTGGGATAGTGTTGCTGAAACCTATTCCCAGAAATTAAATGTAGCCAGAGCATACAAGTTGAGGAGTGATGTGAAGAATTTGAGACAGGGGGAGAAAACCTTTAGTTGTTTATTTCTCAATACTGAAGTCTCTATGGCAAGAAATTGATTTGATAGAAGCTGTAGCCTAGGAAACCACTAATGATGCCGAGACATACAGGAAACTTGTTGAGAGAAATAGGGTGTTTGAGTTTTTGACAGGGCTGAATCCAGAATATGATCACAAAGCAGAATATCTTATCCAAGGATAGCGTTTCATTGTCTCAAGCCTATGCCATGGTAAGCAATGAAGAAAGCAGGAGACTAGTCCAAGTTCAAGGGGCTAGTCTAAATAATCACCTTGCTAAAATGGGAGTGAACCTAAGGGAGTTATAGGAAACCCAATTGGCTCAGGGAAGAAAGAAATTGTTTGTGAGTACTGTAAGAAACCAAAACACACTAAAGACAAGTGTTGGAAATTGCTTCCGGAGCTTCTTCCACTTCGTTTTCAAAAGAAATCTGCTAATATGAAGGCAGGGAGTGCCAATATTGCTGCTAGTCCAGATAGTGACAGATGTTAACTAAAGAGAAGACTGTTAGTGAGCAATTAGTAGCTATGAAGGCAGAGTATAAGAAGTTTGGAAGGATGATCAGTCACCTAGAGGGTGTGGCCTCTTCTTCCAATACTCCAAGAAATTCAACCTCTTCTGCATTTGCTCATTCAGGTATACGGGCTTCTACCAATCATGCAACTATCTCAGGTAATCGTAGGATCCCTTGGATTATTGATTCTAGTGCTTCTGATCATATGACCAACCTTTCCACTTTGTTTGTTTCTTATGATTTACTTCTTGGCCGTGACAAAATCACCCTATTCGATGGATCTCTTGCTCCTATCTCCGGCAAGGGAACCATCAAGGCTACAGATTCCTCGGTACTTCCTTCTACTCTTCATGTACCCAAACTAAATACAAATTTGTTATCTGTAAGCAACCTAACTAAGTCTTTGAACTGTTGTGTAACCTTTTTTCCTTCCTACTATGTTTTTCAAGATCTAGAGTCTTAGAAAGTGATTGGGAGTGGCCATGAGGCGAATGGAATATATCTGTTGGACACTCCTGGACAGAGCCATGGACAACCTGAAAAAGCTGCTTCTGGATCTACATCTTTAGAGTCTGTCAGTCGAGTCATGTTATGTCATTTTCGTTTGGGTCATCTTTCTTTTACTACATTAAGTCATTTATTCCCAGAACTATTTAAGGGCATTAATTTGTCCAATCTTCATTGTGAGTCTTGTGAGTTGTCAAAACATTGTAGAAGCAGTTATCCTTTGAGTAATAAAAGATCTTCTTCTCCATTCCATATTGTGCACTCTGATGTGTGGGGGTCTTACCACTTACCTTCTATGGGTGGCTATAAATATTTTATCTTGTTCATTGATGATTTTTCACGATTCACTTGGATATTTTTTATGAAGTTCCCAGACTTGTGAGGCAATTCCATGGATTTGTTCTAACCCAGTTTGATACCAGAATTAAAATTTTCAGATCCGACAATGCAAAAGAATATTTTGAGAAAAACCTAACCTGTTATCTCACTGATTTGGGGGTTATTCACCAAAGCTCCTGTGTTAGGACCCCAGAATAGAATGGAGTTGCTGAAAGAAAAAATCGGCATATTGTTGAAGTTGCAAGAATTATCCTATTTGCCTCACATGTCCCTACAAAATTTTGGGGTGATCTTTTTCTCACTGCAACCTACCTAATCAGCCGTATGCCATCCAGGGTTTTGGGGTTTAAGTCTCCCTTTAGTCTTCTTCATCCAGGCAAGGATCTTTTTCCTATTCCACTCCGTGTCTTTGGCTGCACTTGTTATGTACATATCCCAAGAGTCCAGAGACATAAATTTGAACCAAAAGTCAACAAATGTATTTTCCTTGGTTATTCCCCCACACAAAAGGGTTATTGTTGTTTTGATCCGAAGACTAGAACTTGGTATGTCTCAATGGATGTCACCTTTGATGAGCTTTCTTCTTTTTATGATTCTTCTCAGAAGAGGCATTGTCCAAAGGGGGAGAATTTGTCTCAGCTATTTGCCTCGTCAGTCAATTCTCATTCCAGTGTTCCTATCCCTCCTCCATTAACTCCTCGTCCTCTTTAGTCCCAGGTTGTACCAACGGCAAAGAACTAAAAGTGAGCAAATTCTTTCCCCTACACCACATGAGCCTCCTGCACTTCCAGCCACAGAAGAGACAACAAGTACTGATACAGCCCCTTTGGAGCCATCCTTTCCAAACCTTGATATTCCTATTGCTATCAGGAAAGGAAAAAAGGAAGTGTACTGCACATTGCATTTCCAAACACCTTTCTTATAGTTTGCTCTATCCTTCATATTTTGGCTATCTTTCTTCTGTTGCTTCTAACCCAATACCCAGGTCTGTGTCAGAAGCTCTTACTATTCCAGAATGGAGGGATGCTATGAGAACAAAAATTGATGCCCTGCACAAGAATGACACTTGGGAAGTGGTTGATTTACCTGAAGGTAAGGAACCAGTAGGCTGTAAGTTACCATCAAATATCATGCTGATGGCACAATTGAAAGGTACGAGGCTAGGCTGGTTGCAAAAGGTTATACACAGACATATGGGATTGACTATTTGGAGACCTTTGCACTTGTTGCCAAGATGACTTCTGTGAGAGTTCTGCTATCTCTGGCTGCACACTCAGACTGGCCACTTTACCAGCTAGATGTAAAGAATGCATTTCTGAATGGAGAGTTACATGAGGAGGTTTATGTCTCTTCCTCCAAGGATGTATGAAACAGATATGAAAGGGAAAGTCTGCAGGCTGAAGAAATCTCTTTATGGACTTAAACAGTCCCCTAGGGCATGATTTGAAAGGTTTAGGGCTGCCCTTGTTAACTTTGGCTATGTACAGACTCAGTCTGATCATACCCTCTTTGTGAAGAGGAGAGGATCTTTGGTAGTTTATCTGATTGTGTATGTTGATGATATTGTTGTGACTGGTAATGATGTATCAGGGATTAATGATTTTAAATCTTTCCTTCATACAGAGTTTGAGATCAAAGATCTGGGGGAATTGAGATACTTTCTTGGCATAGAAGTTGCTCGATCTAAGGATGGGATCCTTATCTCTCAGTGAAAGTATGTATTTGACTTGCTCTCTGAAATAGGGAAGATGGGTGCTAGACCAGTTGCTACTCCTATTGATATGAGTCATAAACTCTCTGCCTTAGATGGAGTATTGTTGAAAGATAAAGGAGCCTTCCAGAGGCTACTTGGGAAACTTCTCTATCTATGCATGACTCGGCCAAACATTGCATATGTTGTCAATTGCATTAGCCAATTCTTGCATGCTCCTAGGGACACTCACATGGTAGCAGCAGAGCGAATTCTGTGTTACTTGAAGGGTTCTCCTGGAAAGGAAATTCTATTTGCTAAGCATGGTCATATGAAACTTGAAGCCTACATGGATGCGGATTGGGCCAGAAATATTGATGACAAAAGATCTACCTCTAGATACAGTAGCTTTACTGCAAGTAATATTGTCTCTTGGAGGAGCAAGAAACAATCAATTGTTGCTAGATCTTCAACCAAAGTTGAACACAGAGCCATGGCTCATGGAGTTTCTGAACTGCTGTGGCTTCAGTCCTTGATGGAGGAACTGGGTATTGAGCGTGACAAACCATTGATGTTATATTGTGATAATCGGGTTGCCATCAACATTGCTCACAATCCAGTGCAACA